CCCACCCCCATCTCCAACACCCCTCCACCCATCCACCCCCCCGCTGTGCTCTACATGATACCTCAGAGGGATTCGGAAGAAGTACACCACAGATACGGCAAAAATGTGTCTCTGGGTACAGGGGCCCAGAGAACTACATTGCAGCCTGACGTGCCACAAGGGACAAGGGCAGAGAAAGCTGCCACTGCGGAACACAGTCGGAAAAGGGACAACTCAAGCCAGAGCTGCAGTACACTCTGTTGACCCTTACCTATAACCTCTCTGAGGTGCATCGATCGGCCTGCTCGGAGGAATCCACATGAAACCCACACTTCTTAGTACTCTGGAGGGATGCAGAAGGCGTGGGTCTCACATAAGGCGACAATGAGCCCTCTGGTACAGGGGCTGGGAGTAGCACAGAGTATCCTGAGCCACAAGGGACAGGGAAACAGCTAGCTGCTTCTGCGCAAAGGTCTAAAGGGTTTAACGCGGACTTCTACTTTCTAAAGGGAAGGGTCTTCTGTTGGTGATCCTATGGTTTAAAGTGTCTAATGGATAAACACACATATATGGGTGGGCTGCTCAGATAGGGCTGGGTTATTAGATAAGGGGTGCTCCTAAGAAGGGATGGGAGTTAGTAGCAGCTCTACGGGACATGGACCCCCGAGCGGACATTCATTTGGCCGCAGCACTGAGGATCAATAATCAGTGTTTTTCTGTGTCGCAAGATGTATCAATGGGACGCTGGACCCGGTTTCCAGCAGGTGCTGCTCCCCACCAATAGATGCAGCCTTCCCGATGGTGCTAGACGTGCCTGCTCTTATCAGCACATCTAGCACCTGAACGGGTTGTTCTCTGAAAAAAAAAAAAAAAAAGATGGCAAGACAAATTCCGGCGCCAAATGTTCACATTTTCTTGTTTCCTGCTGCTACTGGTAGGCCCAAACATTTTCCACTTCCTGGCCAACTGGTACCCTGCCTGATTTTTCAAGTGCCGTGGCGACGCCACGGGTGGTTTTAGGCAGAGACCAGTTATACTCTCGTCCTTACGGAAATAGGAAAGTTGCAGCTTTGACCTTGGAGGCAGGTACTTCTTTTTGTCCAGAGTCCTCGTCCCCAATGCAAGGATGGCTATATTACCCCTTCAGCAAAGCTCTCTGGAACATAGTCTGAAAAATAGTTGCCTGCCTCAAAGAGCACCTCTCCCAGAAGTCTATCCCTTTTGACCGCTGAAGTTGCATAATGTAAGAGGCAGCAGTACGCCAAACAGGGCAGTCTCCGTCCTTGGATACCAAAATGGTGAGGGAAGCGCATATCTATCTCGAAACAAAAAGGGAAAAGGACTTTTTAAGAAAGAGAGTGAAGAGCGGAGCCCTTGGAAGATTTCCAGTACTGCTTTCCTCTGTCAAAAAAACAACAGTCATAAACTCCCAGTAACAAAAAGTCTATGCAGCTTATCCGCATCATTTTGTTGAAAAAGGGATACCGCGACTGATATCCTCAGAGAGAGTCTGCGCTCTTCTTCATCTGGCATGCAAAAAAATTGGCGTGGCATCCAGATCCACGACAATGGACCTGTCCTTCGGGACGATCATTGAAATCGGAACGATACAGAGAAGATTAAGATTAGCATGGCCCCTGCTCAAGGATGACACGTATAAATCGAGGCCAACGGACCTCATTTGCAGGAGGTGGTGCTTCTCCTCCACCCCCCCCCCCTATATAGATCAGCAGACTCATCGGAGAGCCATAAACCACCACCACAAGCCACAAGGTTACAGTCTTTACGATGTTCTTACCATGCCCACAATGGCAACTTGCCAATGACGTTTCAGATTGCAAAAAAGTTGAAAAAACAGATTGTTAGCAGCTGAAGCTCAAAACAGTATGGAAAGATGTTGGGCTGCCGATGAGTCGCCGTTGGCGTAGCTGAAGCTGAAGCTGAAGCAGATGGAGTTCAACTGTCCCGCAGTCTGTGGAGGACCAGCTTCGGACATTCACCCTGCTTCATTGTGGTATGACTTTTCAGTGCATCGCAAGCGGTACCAGTAGAGCTGCAAATGGAAGAAAAGCACGATGACGTCCCTCCTCCGCACCCGCCGGCATGACTATCCACTTACCTGTACTGCCCTCTGTTCAATGCGCTTTCTCACTGTCACTCCAAATAAAGAGTTAAACTTAAAAGTGCTGCTTGCTTTCCCACCCGTACCTCTTACGCCACCAGAAGTCCATTTCACAGTTATTTTATTTGTTGCCGTGCGACCGTCAAACAACCAGCACATCCGAAAAAGCAGATTTGAGCCTCTCCTAAAAAAACAACAGGAGGCCATCAACCGCCTATTCATTTTATCGACGGTCCATGGACTCCGGATTTTTAGGAGAGGATCAATCTGCTTTTTCGGATGTACTGGTGGTTTAGCGCGCGCTGTCTTTTGGGCCCCTGCATGCCAAACTGTTCGCACCTGAACTGGTTTAACTTTTAACGGAACTCCACCCATGGCAGAAATTGGCATCGGGAAAAAGAGGCTCTGGAAGTACTCAGTCTGGTGGTATAGACCACGCCAGCACTTTTGAATTCCTAAAGTCGTGCCCGTATACAAGCCACAATTTTTTAAGGAAACGTACGGGCCAACACTACAGGAGCGCCCAAATTCATCCGACTAGAAACATTTCTAGTCTTATTCTTTTCCGCGGCCGACAGCTGGGCCAAGGACTGGTGGTTTAAACTTTGAGATCCAGGTGCTTCTGAATATCTTGCATTGTCTTGACAGCCTGTATGAACTTCTCCTTTTCTTTTGGCTCCAGTGTTTGCTGCACTACTCCCATAACCCCTCCAAGTCCCAGCTTGGCAGGGAGACTAAGAAACACCTCCTCCTTGATTCCATGCAGGCCCTTGCAAAGCACCGAAACTGGATGTATTCGGTGCTGGTTTCTAAGGATGCTCTTCACCAAACCTGACACCGAGTAGCCAATTGCCCAAGAGGTATATCCTTTCAGCTTTATGATCTCATACGCAGACTGCACCACCTGCCGATGTACATTCTCCAGGATCTCTTCCACTGCAACACCACAGAGAAAAACACAGAGGGGAAAGAGGAGGGAGGCGGTATTAGGGGGTATTAGGGGGTGCAACACAGTCCCTCACAGAGTCAGCAGGCTTGCGCATGGAGACGACAGAGGAGCGGTGAGACTTTTCTATATTAGAAAAAGCAAACATTTAACATAACAACTTCCACGTTTCTAGCTCAGTCGGCACACCCACGCACTGTTCATCAACGGAACGGACCAAAGTTAGACTCCAGACACACTCAGGTGGCCAGAACAAAATAATTGTGAATTGCCTGGGGCCGGTCAACGATATCTGAAGGCCGTCGCCCTTCTGAAGAACAAAATAACATTCGCATGTCCTCACCTGTTTTTTGTTTCCTGTTTTTTCTTCTTCTCTTTTTTTTTTTTTTTTTTTTTTTTTTTTTCCTTTAAACGGGCCCAGTGCCCAAGGCTGATATTACCAATAAGAAGATTTTTTGCCCGGCTATTATCAGTTCTTGTCATTCTTGAGTAAAAAATCATCATGATGGCATCGTCATTTGTTTTTCATCCGTGACTCCTTTGCAATGAAATTTCCCATCTCTTTGCTTCATGAAGGCTTCCTGTACCCCTGGATATAATTTTAGTTAATTATATCTGACTTAAACCAATTTAAAATTTAAATGCAATATTCAGATCAGATGCAGCAATAAGGACCCTGTGACCAATGGGCCTAGCTCAGTTGAGTACAGCCATGAGCTGTTAAAATTTGAAATACAGACCCAACATCGAATCCAGACACAATTTGACGAACAGAATAATAATGACCCTGTGGGCCTGTGCTTCTTTTCTCCCCTTTCCTTTTTGACAGGATTTTTTTTGCTCAGTCCTCCGGACATCCGTTGGAGTTGGAGCAACACAGAGAAAATCAGCATGACCCCTTTTTTTTTTTTTGTTTTTTTTTTTTGGAAAAACTCCCCCATCAGGTGTTAGTGGTGCTGGTAAGAGCAGACACCACTAGCACCTGGGGAGAGGCTCCATCTATTGGTGGGAAAATCAGCATGACCCCTGCAAATGATACACATAAAATTAGCATGACCCCTGCACCAGGATGGCACGAGTAAATCGATAAATCGTCCAAGAAAAACAAAAAAGGCAAAGAGAAAAGACGCACACTTTCACTTCTGCCTCCAATTCTAGAGTGTGTTGCTGTGGACCCTCTGCAATTGCAGGCACCACAATTCAATGGCTCCAGTTTATTCATGGGAAGCAGCTCAGCAGCACCTGTTCAGAAGTGGGGCCAACATCCTGTAGGTTTGTGGAGAAGAAACTTCCTTCGATATGCTGGCCACTGGAGCCTGTGTTTTTCCGTGTCCCGTTCGGGGGAAAGGCGGTAGTGATTAGAATCTCCAACCGGCCCTTTCGCTACCCTTTCCCATAATTCAAAGCAGCTGGGAATCTGGACCCAGTTTCCAGCCAGGTGCATCTCCTCACCTATAGATGAAAGAACTGCCCAGGTCAATCCCAGAAAAATTGCCATCACATAATCATATATGGAGAAATCATGAATCTTGCCAATGCTTGTGAAAGTGGCCTGCAGGGCCACAAACCGGCTATGCAGTCGTGATGATCCCCCGATCTTCCAGCCAGTGACAGCTCCATTGCCCCGGCAGGAGTAATGGAATGAACATCTCTCCCTGTTGCTGGTTTTTATATGCTCTGACAGTGGCAATGCGTGCAGCAAGTGAGGAGAGCATGAAAGATGCTGCAGTATATCCCAACCGACATCCAGCCAGGGCACACTTCCGCCTTTGGCTTGGACCCCACTATAGTCCTTTCCAGAGAAGCTTCAAGACAGGGCCACAGCCGGCAGGCCAGACGAGAAAAACTGGGCCCCGCTAACTTTTCCTTTTTTTTTTTTGTCTTTTTTTTTGTGTGTGCTCACAGGACCCACCTCATTCCTACCTCAACGTTCTTCTTCCTTAGCGTAACCCCTGCTTTGCATTACAGGCTGCAAGTGGCAAACACATCCCTGTGGGATGACCGCCTCCAAGACAAAGGACCATGGTCTGTCTGTCCTCCGGGCAACCTGTCCCTGTGGGACAGTGCGACGGTGGGAATTTCAGGGGCCTGGTACCAGGCATCACCATGGTTTGTGAGCGGGATGCTTTATTGTGTTGCTTTTTTTGCCTATTCGATTTCCAGTTATGAGGTTTTCTACAGCTACCTGTTAGGCGTAAGCATACATGTTTGTTTCCTAGTTTAGCAGGCTGTTACTCTAGGATCTACATGTTTAGATATGTCTTGGGTACTGTTGTGATGTCGCCCAGTCTCTTTTCTTTTGGATCCTTACCGGGGGATGGTGCCACTTCTCCGACTCCAGACAAACCAATACATTTGTGTTTCTTCAACTTTCTTGATGATTTCCGGGCAGTTCCCGACAGCGCCTTTTTTGCCCAGTAGGCCGAGCCCCTAAGGGCGTTGAGCGTTAACCATGGTGTTGAAACAAAATAGCTGGGGAACGTCCTGGCGGTTTAGAACTCTAGCCATCATCGCTATAATTTTCCTATTCAGGACAATCCCTACGCCTCTGATGGCAGTTGCTCAGCTCGTGAGAGCTCTGTCGTTGCAACACAGACTCATCCTCTTCTGCCCATGCCCAGTTGTTAGGTAGAACCCAACGCACTTCCCCCCCCACCCTAGCACAGCACTTGCATTATCATGACAGCAGGGCAATATCACAGTGCTTGGAAGAGAATGGCTTAGAGATGACTGTTTGTCGGACCCTAGGGGAGTTACTACTTCCGGCCATTAAGGGAGCAGCGCCTGTTTGAGCGAGCGCCGTTCTGGTTATCAGGGGTAGGATGAGCTTGTCCTGAAGGAATACAATTTACGAATGTGACGTTCTTGGAGAGAGGGTGAGTGTGGGTGTTTGAGCGAACAGGGGGGGGGGGGGGGGG